GATTAGGATATAAGCGTGTGATTTCCGTGAGTATCGAGTTGTTGCTAAATGATCACCACCAAAGTTGTTCATCCAATTATTCGTTGTTGACGTACGCTCTGCCAAGTTGTTAGTACTCTGCATGTAGAATCGATCCATTCGAAATGATTTCCTTTCCTTTAAAATCCATATTCATATTCGTGGGGTATTAATTTATTTCCGGAGGATTTTGACTTTTGTCAGGAGGTCTAATTTCCCGCGCAATTGCAATGCAGGAAGACCAACCACCACACACAAATAATTTCTACACGAATGGTTCTCAACGTCACGTCAATGCTGGAACGCTTGCAAGTTCAAGCCGTGTCCGACCAGCACTACCTCGAGGAGTGCTTGGATGTGTTCGGAGCGGGCGCCGACGAAGAGAACAATACCACCACGTACAATAATCCTGTAATAGGCAAGGTTCTCGAGGAGAGTGACATTGACGGCTTTCGGACCTTAACAAACTTCACGCCTGCCGAATTCGACACTGTATGGTGTATCGTTGAAGGCCCGCTCGTCGTCCGCTGGATGGATGGTCGGGGTCGCAAACCCACGACAACGGCAAAAGACGTCCTGTTCATGACCTTGGTCATCATGAAGCACTACCAGACCTCGGAGAAACATGGTGTCGACTTTGGAATAAAAGCGCCAACGCTGGAGAAGACGATTATGCGTGTTATCGACATTGCCTCTCCTGTCCTCTACGATGCTTTTGTCACCATGCCGTCCATGGCGTTCTTCCGAGACCAAGGCTCCACCTTCGCAAACTTCCCATACGCCAAGTACGCCACTGACGTGAGATCTCAGCCCTCCCACCGCCCTTCGGGTCGCCTTGGCGAACAAAAGTACTACTTCAGCGGAAAGCATAAACTCTACGGGCTTAAAATTGAAGCATCAGTATCACCTCAAGGTTCATGGTCGACATGAGTTCTCACCAACCAGGGTCCGTCGCCGACATGACGATGTTCCGTAACCGTCACGATGTCCACGTGGAAGCCTTGACCAAGAAGCCTGACGAAGTCATGGTAAATGACAATCGTTTTTGAAAATCAATTTTCTCACAAAGAATGTTCCTTTTTTCGTATTTAGGTTTAGCTGCACATCCAACAATCGAACCAAGCCAACGCAGAAACAATGTCATCGTCAACTTCTGCCCCCTTGCAAATATTCAAAGCCTCAATTTGAGTGCATATAGCACCCATCTCCAAGCTCTCAATGATTTCACGGGCAAGATTTTGCATATGAGCAGAGTAGTCCACCCCATCCAGGAGTCCACAACCAAAACTCCAAATACTCTCGCACAGGAAACCAATTCTGGCAGCCTCCCCCGAGCAAGCAAAGCATCCTTTTTCATATAGTCGTTCCCACCTTTGTTGAGGATATCCTCCTCGAGGCATCTCTGCAGGGTCAAAAAGTTCTTCGTCAGGGTGCCAGGCTTCACCGCATCCCACGCTGCTTCAGTGGCAGCGACGATTTCTTCCAGGCTGCATGAATACTTCTCAACTTGGAGAGACTGGATGGCTCGGAAAAAGCCGAGGTCGAGGGCATTCATGTCAGGAGAGTTGGGAGGTTGAATGACCACCTCCATGTCCCATCCTTCAGCCTTGCAAGCAGCAACCACATCAGAGTCGCACGGCGAAACATGAGGCCGTGCATTGTCTTGCTGGATCTTGATCGCTCTTGTGTTAGTTTCAGGCCACTTTGAACGGATCGCAGGTATAACCTTGCCGATAAGCAAGTCCTTGTACGTCTCACGAGTGACGGCGACAGACTTCATGACGGGCGTTACAGCGTCGCATCGGCAACTACGCCTCTGTGCAGAACAACCTCAGTGAAATGCCACGTCCGGATCTTGCCATCGTACCATTCCTGCTTGGTTCCATCCCACCGCGGTCGCGCCACGCCGACAAGAACATAACCTTCAACACGTTGCGCTTGGACTTGCAAGTTCGTTGCTTGATCCGTTCATCAGGAGCGCTGATGACCTTGGTTTGGAGGCGGGTCATGAAAAACTATTTTTCATCCACGTGGACAGTGTCGTACATTGGGTCAAAGTACTTCTCGCCGTCCACGTCCATGACCTTCTGGATGGCCCAGTTGAGGCGACAAACCTTGTTCGAGTCGGTGAGGACTGGCTTTAGAGAACTTGAGTACTTGGCAAGGACTCCACGCTTGAAGTACCGGTGCAGGGTCGATGTTGGGAGTCCAAGAGCATGGGCTGTTGTGCGAAAGCATTAGCGGCGGGACTGGGGGATCGCTTGGATGCGCTTGGCGAGGTCGGTGTGCAAGTGTTTGCGGCCGCTGTGGCCTTTCTTTCGCTGACTAACGTCCTTACATATGGTCCTCACCCCACTCATGTCCACAGCTGCGCGGCGCCAGATGCGGCGGACAGTTGTTGGTGTGCAGTCGAACAGTTTTGCAATCTCCTTGGCGGCGCCAGTGCGGAGCTTCCCAACACCGGTGCAGCGGGTCATTAGATGCTGGACCATGTTGTTGCACTCACTGTCAGTGAGGTTCTTCTTGTGCTGCCCCTCTCTCATCTTTTGAAATGACTCGACGAAACGAAGTGGGGTTGGAGATGGCCAGATCCCGCGCATGGCTTGGCGCCAAACTTGGCCGGATAATTACCGGATAACAATTATCCAGATAAACAGGGGTTATTTCCAATTTGTACAAAATCTATGCTTCATTATATAGATATTTCGTATAGTTCATGTATTGCCCAATTTTGTCAAGGGTGTTCAATTTGATAGGCTGATTTTATGTATTTCGGATTGCTTACACTTTTCTCGTTCGAAATATGCTTCTACATCCTTGAAATTCATGATTTTCCTTAAGAAAACCAACTTTAAAGAAGAACGAACATTTATTATGAGACAGAGGTAGTAAAATTTTGTTGGCTTGTTTGTTCTTGATCAATGATTGGGCTTTGGTCAAACCCTCAGTGGATTGGGAAATGTGTCGATCAATGGTTGGCTACCCTGTCTAGGTTCGAAATATTTTCTGTTCACCAAATGACACAGTCCCTCGTCAGCACATCTCAAGCATACGATGATTGAGCCCTCTCCTTTGTAAAGGCGCTTGTCTATAGGGAAATCGATTCCATTTTGACTTGGTGACCTACTATACTCAATACCAGTCTGATTGGGAACTATTGCAGACGAACATTCACAGTCATACAAAATCATAGTATAATGAATCTGTATTTAAAAAGATTAAACTGTTATGATGTTTACAAGATCATACATTTCTTCGAGGCGGCTCTCGTCTTCAATACGCTGATCCAAAAGCTCAAAGTTGAGCATGTCGTCATTCTTGACTTTGCTTTGAGGAATCTTGTAGTTGAAGTCTCTAGCCACTGCTGCAATCGCAACTCGCGAGAGCTTGCCGTTCACACTCTTTACAGTGGCGGGCGTCATCGAGGGGACTTTTACTCCTTCGTGTGAAAAAAATGCTACGATAGACTTGGAATACGTCAA